TAAAACTCACTGTGTACGACGAGAAGTGTATGCACACACACACACACACACACACACACACACACACACACACTCACACTCACACGCACACTCACACAGCACACACTCTCTCTCTTTCTCTCTCTTACCTTGGATACACCGAAAACACCGCCGCCATCACCTCCGTCGCGCCCCCTTAGGGTTTGACCACTCCACATACTCCTGCAACATCTCGTCCACCTTGACAAACGCCTGCTCCCTCTGCGCGTGGCTGAAATTCTTATCAAAGCGTTCTCCAGCACTTCGCCGCGTTCGCCGCCCAGAGCATCGCGACCGTCCGCTGGTCGGGCGCCGGCCCGCGGCTGAGGAGCACGTCGACGGAGCGGCGGATGAGTTTTTCCTTGACGAAGGGGTCCGAGACCGGGTGCGTGGCCATGTCGAAGAGGACAAAGTTGCGCTTTTCGGTACGGAGGACGCCAAACGCGACCGCGGCGGAAAACATCAGCTGCAGGGTCTGCACATACCCATGGATCACGGGCCCTTGCTCCTCGGACGGGATAGCCGTCCTAATGAACGACGCGCTCTGGAAGAACGTGTTGTGGTGGACATACGGCACAGTGAACGTCAGGGTCTGATTCGCGCGGCCAGGTTGGCGTAGACGTTTTCCTGCTGCTTGCTGTTGAAGGTGACGGACCAGATGGCGAGGCCCAGGACGGCGCCGATGGTCTGGAAGAAGTTGACGTTTGCGGTGACGATGGCGAGCTGGTCGGGTCTGGCGGTGAACTGGGCGACAAGGATGACGGTCTGGATGGTGCAGCGAAGAACGCGCATCCGCCAAAGAGCGACGTCAGGCTTGATGTCCTTGAACATGGACAGCGGGATAACTGGATTCGCCGCCCAGTTGGCTTCGACATACAAGAATACGATGGTAAGAACCCCACCAACGACAAGCAGATGGATCCTTCCACGCGAAAAGGCAACCCACACCCTGCAGCGGAATCAGGATGCAGATGACAGCTCCCACGAGGAGGAATGTTCCGATCCAGTCGATTCGCGACAAAGACAACCAGACGTCGCCGTCCTGGATCATGGGGAGCTTCAGGAGCGCGACGACGGCGGCGACGGTGATCACACCCTGCAAGCGATAATCGCGAAACAGTTGAAAGGATCAGCTCGTACCAGCGGCTGACGCGAAACCAAAGCAAGCGCCGACATGTACTTTCCGCGCTCCTTCACGGGGACGATATCCGCGATGATGATGACCGCAAACGAAAAGATGCCGCCGCCTCCGAGTCCAGCGATCGCTCTCGACGCAAAATGAGCATCTACGTGGAATCAAAGAGGAAACCCGTCGGATCATACTCTGACCTTCGATTCAAACAAACACAGACAGCGCCACTCACGTTCATGCTGACGGCAGCTCCGCACATTACGCTACCGATCTCAAACACAATGATCGCAAAGAGAAAGCGTCCGAAGATGTCCGCGAGCTGTCCATCGCCGTGAGAAAGTAGGCGGTCGCGATCGAGGTGGTTTGGCCGAGGGCGTTGAACTCCTGGGCGATGGCACCGAGCGCGACGGCGACGATGGTCTGGTAGCAGTTTTTTAGCGAAAGGAACACGACACTCGAAAGAGAAAGTGCAGCCCCCGCGAAACTCCCACAGACCTGGTCGAGCGCGGCGAGGAACACTGCGAGGGCGAGGCGACAAAGAAGGGGACAAACTCGGTGTTGGACAGCACAGGGACATCAGGCTGGCGCTGCTTGTCGTCTGCAATACTCAAGTCGTTTGGGGCGGAGGCTTTGCCGCTTGACGTTACGAATCCTGAGGCTGATGCCTGAAGCTTGTTTTCAGAGTGCTGATGCTTGAGGGATAAGAGTGGCGATGGGGGGTGCAGGCTCGTGTGTGATTTGTGTCTGTCTGTCTGTCTTTCGGAATGTCTGCTTGTGGCTATTGGTGGCCGCAGGTGCCGCCTGCAAAAGGGTTTCCGACGGCGTCGAAATAAGGCGATATAATTAGCTGGAGTTTGGCAAGACCTTGTTCTATTTAAATCTGGCTCTTTTTTAAATTCACTCAAAATGAGGGTTCTTAGGCGAGTAAATTGATATCTCTTGTGCAAACGTGCTTCACAACTTTTATCAAGTCGCTCAAGTCCCACTACCCCTCCGGTTGATTGAATTGGAGTGAAAAACGAAGAAATTGACTGCATACCGCTGCTGCTGACGACTTTCACACGTTTTTTATCACAGTCTTTGTCAGATCCATCACATCCTTTTTTCCTTTTTTACAGCTCTCGCAAAGCTTAACCTGATTGAGCCTTGGAAATTGGAGCTGGATCATTTGCAGATAGCGTTGTCTTAAGACTAACATTGGAAGCTCCAAGTGAACAGTTCTCAGATATTTTCGCTAGCCCAGCCATGGGCAATGCAGCTTGACTATTAAAAGTCTCTGTCGCAGCCAGATGAGGCAAAGATAGAGGAACTTTGTTGGTGGAAGCGATCGGCAATGATAAAGTAGCTGCTTCAGAATGCTGACAAGAACTACTTCCAACCGCCACAATATCTGGGGCTGGAATTGTATTGGACAAAGCATGTGATGGGTCGAGTTGCGTTGATGATTTTGACGACGAGAAGCTTGACCTTGCATTCTTCTGGTGGAGTGTGTCAGACCTAATATTCCCGTAGCCTTTGTCCAATGTTGCAGCAAAATTGACAACAATCTTCCAGTTGTACTTTCCTTTCCTTTTTGTTTCAGCAAATTGCATGATCTGGCTAATATGTTTCTCCGTAATATAAATGCCGCCATGGGGTTTGATTAGGTTTCCTTGAAGACTTTCAGTTGCAGCACTTGGCGGCAAGTCAGCTTGGGGAGCGGCAGAAACACTCTTTTCGGACATGCTGGGGTCAAGAAAATGAGAATCTTCAAATAGGCTCGATGCTTGAAGATTTTGCAGCTGCCTGTGCAACATACTTACGCCATAAGCTGCAGTACCTTGATTGAGAGAAGTTTCCATCTCACTATATACAGCATTGATTCTCTCCACTTCAACGAAATCCGGCTCTCTTCCTTCAGACGCATCATCAGCTCTCCAAAGAAATTGTATCGTCATCGATGTTTCCTGTGCTCTCCATTTCATTCGACGCTCCATCTCTCTTTTCAATATTCTGCTTTGCAATATGCAAGAGAAACGTCGTCATCTGTGCCTGATTCTCAGAGGATACGAAGAATCTATTTCTATTTCCCCAAAACATTGATATGTCAGAAAAAACCAGCGAATGCTACCGCAGAGATTTGAGCAATCACTCACCAATCTCATTTCTTGCAAAGACAAGCAAATGGCACTCTTTAAGATTCACAGTACCATTCTTCACTCACATCTTCAGTCGCTTAGCAAATCTTCTTGTGCCATCAATAGATACTGACTTTGTAACTCTTGCAGATTTCATCCGTGCTGTTGCAACGTCGTCATACTTGCTTGTCTCCTTCAGTCAAAGCCCAGTCATTTCTTTTGAATCGGGTGCTTTGTCCTTCAAAATATGACTCAAGTGTAAGTGGAATGGGTCGCAAATCTGTTGGAAGTTTTTGAGAGCGCTTTGCAAAAATATCAAGGAGTTCTGCATATCGCTCTGGGTTTCTATTGTGAGACAAACATCAAGAAGAATAAGGCAACAATACTGACCAACCTGCAGGGACAAAATCTTGCTCAAAGTAAAGTGCAACCCAATGTCACTTCGAAAGCAACGATCCACACTGTTGTTGAACAGGTCGTAGGTCACCCCTCCTTTTAATGATAAGACATAAAGGAACTTATTTTTTACAGAGTCATCAAGGCGCCGAAGAAACTAATCATCGACAGTGTTGAAAAAGCCTCGTCCTTCTCCTTTGTCCCCAGCGCTTTCAGCTTGCTTCTGCAGGGCACTACACTGATACTGTTGATAAGTAAGCAAAGTCTTATGATTGATATCATGGACAAGGCAAGTGTAAACAGTCTACTCTGAGTGAGTGAGTGGAAGGAGTGAATGAAGTGGAAATGTGTGTTTGTGGGTGTTCCTTCTCCCCAACTTGGAGAGAAAGAGAAAAAACTCTGTTATTAATTATTGATGATATGCACCTTGTAATAGTTGCTAGGCAAGCATGACTGGCACAGGGGAAAAACCTCTCCTATATTATCTGCTTGAGCAGAGGAGGAGGAAAACTGTTTAAACTGGGTTTCCATTCCACTTAATACTCAGAGTATTTGTCAACAGCGCAAGTCAGCGCCTCTGCATTGATGGTGGCTCACTCTCCCCATGTGCATTGTGAGAATGATGACTGACAGTCACAATAGGTTCAGGTCCGTCTTGTACCTCTTGCTGCTAACCAGTCAGTTCCACCTATCAGCAAGTAAGAATTTTCAGGCGTGATGGGGTGCAGCTGCATCCATCTTGAACACAAGTGACTTTTCTGTCTGGGAGCTGTTTCAACATTCCATGTAAAATATGGATAGTGGATAGTCCAGTTGTCTCCGCCTGGCGCGGAGTTTTTGTTTTTCCTGCTGGGTTTGGCCGCGCCAGTCCCCGAAGACACAAAGCCATGCAGAGATTGCCAAACAAGCAGCCAGCGGATGGGCCTTTGCGTGATTTTACCTCCTGGAGACACGTTCGAACGATTCTTTTCGCTCGTCCCCAGAACGCGCCCCTCAACTATATCTTTCTTCAGTGCGCCAGTCCTGGTTCGATCTGCTTCGCGAAAGACTGATAAGGCTGACGGACGGGCTGTCATAAACATCGAGGTTCGAAACAGGAAGATGTGTGGGCGGCTTGCTGACTCATTGTGAAGCCAAAGTGCGAAACTCAAGCTGCAAAACGCAGATGCTCAGTCAACTGAGAGAAGGATAAGGAGTTACTTCAAAAGCTTTCATGCAGGAATACAGTGCCGCTTCCCCAACAAAGCATCACCGGCAGGAGCGGATGCAGTTAAGTGAACCATGCAAGCAAGACCAAGCAGTGAAGTGCAGCCTTAGCGTTGTGGTCACCGTGTTGTCGCTACCGGGTGGACTTGAACCACCAACCTTGCGGTTAACAGCCGCACGCGCTAACCAGTTGCGCCACGGTAGCTCTACTACTTAACCAATACGTCAAACTAAATTATGATAGGCGACTTCTTTCCATCCGCAAAGCAACGGAAATGTTCAAGAACGCAGAAAAAAAGTGGTTCAAAAGAAAGATCCCCAGCCTCCCTCCACTACTAAATACCCCCCTCCCCGTTCTGGTGCCCGCAGCTTGTCGGCGCTTTGGTGCATGGTCCCTCCGCGTCAGCGTCGGCCGGGCCTCGAAATGATTATTTTCTCAAGGGTACGATCCTAGACGGCTACGGACCATTCAGGACTCCACAAACCCACCGGGGCTCACCCGGCCCCAATCATATTGCACGCTTGGCTTCCAAACAGACCCTTGACGTACGCCACACCGGCGCAGACGCTGACGCAGGACGAAAAGCCAAGAGTGCACGCGATCAAAAACCAAACAAACTGCGCTTCCCCGGCGGCGGCGGGTCTCGCATTGTTCGCCTCGTCGTCCCCGTCGTCCACGCCGTCCGGTGCGGAAATCGAAACCAAGTCGCGCACGCGGCCCAGGCGGCCGGATCCGCGCCATCGGGTCAGCCAGGCATTAAAGCAGTAGAGCCCAGCGTCGACCAAGAGCTCGCCGAGAACGATGAGTGCCCATCGCCCCCCCACTCGAGCCGCCCGGAGCGACGCGAACCTGTCAGTGCAGGCGTCGGCCAGCCGCTGGGCTCGGGTGTCGGGGACGAAGAAGAAGAGGACTCCCAGCAGCGCGCTGGCTTCGGCGCAGTGGCTGGCCAGCCGGTGGTTTACGATGATTTGGGGCTGGTACCGATCGCTTACGATTCGCAGCGTTCTTTCTATTGGTGGGAGGGCTGCGTCGTGCCGTGACTTGTACAGTAGCCAGAGCAGGACGAGGAGGTTTTGCATCGGTTGGAACAGGACTAGCCCCGCCGCGACTAGGTAAAATCCGGACTCTTGGTCTGCTGATGCTCTGAGGGTTGTGGCGACTGCGCAGGTGTGATAGACTGTTTGCGGGTTAGCCATTTTGTTCAAGTGTGCCGGAAAAAAAAAAAAAGATCCTCACACGCAGTCACGATCATCGCGGGCAAAACTTTGTGAAAAACGGCGCTGGTCTTCAGAGTCCCCGTCGCCGTCGCATTTCGCGCCGCGTCCTTTGATACCGCCAGTGTAGCCATGGATGCGACCACGGCGCTCGACGCCGAGCGGATCTTTTCCTCAACACTGTTTTCGGCGAACATTGTTCGGTCGATTGTTTTGGCAATGTGCCAGTACGCCAGCTGCTCGAGGGCCAGCGTCGCGATGACGAGCGGCAAGGATATAAGGACGCTCGAAACGTGCGCGGCGTCGGCCAAGTCCGGGACGCTGACGAGGAAAGCGGCGAGCCAGATTGACGCGGCGTTGATCAAGGCGTCGACGATGGCGAAGCAAAGGTACTCGAGTAGCTTGGCCAAACCGGGCTGGTGGCAGCTTGGTGAATTTGAAAAAGTTGTGAACGTCACACCTGAATTGGGGGTGGCGATCATTCGGGAAAAACAAGTTTTAGTCGCCGATTCGCAGCACGCGCTTCCGTCAATCGCCGAACCCTACAGAAAACCCGCAAAAACGGCGCCACAACCACGACCGCCGTTTTCTGGGTCGCCAACGCGACCAAAGCCGCCGACAGCGCGGCGTACGAAACGGTGCCAAGCCCAAACACTGCCAGCGGTTCCAGAAACCTTCGCAAGCCGAGCTCGCGCCAGTCCAGCAGCGCCAAGTAGGTGGAAAAGCTGAGGCAGTGAGTGAAGAAGACGCTCCCCAGTACGAAGAGCGACGACGAGTCTGGGGGCCGCGAGGCGTTGCGATCACGCAGGGCCGACTCGATCTGGGCCATGGCCGTCAAGCCACTGGCGCTGATCGTGCTGCTGACCAGCACCATCATCAAGAGTCGGCCGATGAGGGATACTCGCATTTGGGTTTCGCCTAAGTGGATGTCTCGGTGTGTGTAGTGTGTGCGTGTGAGTGCGTGTGATAAAGTCGACGAAGTGGATGGTTGGAAATAAAACGAGACAATTCTTCCTTTCTTTTAGCCCCCCGGGCAGCTTCAACGCTTGTATCGTGGTCGTTCCGTTCAAAACCAAACACGGCCTCGAACACGAGGGGTAATCGGTAAACCCGCCCCAAACGCTCAGGTGGTGTGGGGGTACGAAGGGAAGGCGCGGAGTGGTTAATCTGAAACAAATATGATGCAATCTATTATTTTTTTTTTTTTTTTTGTGTTGACAAAATAAATCCTACAAGTAACATAGCAAGAGGAAACTACCAAGTCCGGTGCCTCCCCTTGAAGCCGTCAATGCGATCGGGTGCTCAGCCAGTCCAGCCACTCGGCAATATCCGAGCCGCCGTCCGCGCCAGCCGCCAAAGCCTTTTCCCCGGCCTCCCGCAGGCCGCCGTCCGCGCCGATCATCCCGTTGCCCGTCACGAAGAAGCCGACCTGCGGCAAGCTCCCCGCGGTCGGGGACGTCGTCGCGGCGGCCCACTGCGCAAGGTCGATCGCGGACCACGACGTCAGCCCTCCCCCAAGCAACGCAGAGTCCGGGGGCGCCGTTGTCGTCGTCGGCGGAGGCGGCGGCGGGGGCGGTGTGGCGGCCCTCCCGATCTCCGTGGCGGCGCGGAACGCACCAATAAAGCTGCGCACCGTTAAGACCATCACGTTCCCCGTTTCCGCGTACGGCCTCGCGCTGGCGTCCGCCGGGTGTCTCGCGGGCACCTTCCCAGAGTCCCCGGGTCCGTCGGGGAGTCCGACGTCCTGGAGGAGGGAGGAGCTGTTTGCGTCGATGCCGTCGTGGTATCGCCAGTCGCCGAGGCGGGCCCTGTCGGCGAGTTTGTAAAAGAACCGGGCGAAGAGGCGGGAGACGGTGCGGGAGGAGGTCATGGATTTGAGGAGCCAGAGGTAGTACTCGATCCACTGTGCCCATGCGCCGATTTCGTCTGCGGACGGGTCGAGCAGCGGCGGGGACGGAGAGACGCCGGTGTCGGAGGCGCCGCCGATGTGAAAGTGCCAGTAGCGGTGGCGGGTGGAGCGGGTGGAGAGGGCGAGGTGGGCGCTGAGGAGGGTGACGACGGCTTGCGAGCTAAAGTAGACGGTGAGGTCCGGGAGGCGGTGTGTGAACGCGTTGGTGCGGTTCAACAGCGATATGAGTCTTGCGATGCGTTCCGCGGATCGCAGCGCCATCGCGAACGCGGCTTGGTTGTCGAGCTGGTCGAGCTCGTCCTCCTGGGAGTCGGCGGAGACGGTTGTCGCGGAGGACAGGTCGCGGAGGTAGACGAGCATTTTGCGACGCATCAGCCAGCACACGGCGCTGTGGTACAGGAAGAAGAGGTTCATAGCGTACAGCCAGGTACCGGGGTCGTCGACCATCGCCTCGTAGAGGTCGTCGTCGGTTTCGACGACCCGCCAGAACGACGCCGGGATCGTGCTCCACCAGCCGAGGAGCTCCACTTCGAGCTCCTGCTCGCGAAGCCGGAGCGACTGGTCGCCGCCGCTGACGTCGTCGGAGGAGGCACGGGAGGTCTGACCCACGCGGTGGAAGATCTCGACGAGTTTGGCGTGCCAGTTGACGGGGCTGTACGCGTCGACCGTGTAGTTCGGCGCGGTGCTGGGGGAGGTGACAGGCTTCGAGCATGTCCAAAGTCCTTCTGGACACGCGGGTTTTACGGCTGACATGCTTTGGTTCAGGGCAGGTGTGCGGTACAGCACGGTGCTGAAAGCTGTGCGACAGCGAAAGAAAATGAGAGTGAGTGGCAAGGTTTAGAATTCTGTCGCTTCAATATCGAATCCGGTCTTAACTGTGATCCTCGATATAGAGATGCCACCAACACCGACGTCGCGCCTCTTTCTCTGCCCAGCTCAAACTCGCCAGATCGGGAAGGTAATCGGGGTCGATATTCAGCCGAAGGAAAACAGCCTGCGACGATTGCCCGATCAGTCAGTAGGTGGTTCAAACAGAAGGTTCTCCTTACCAGCTTTTTCAAGTTTTCTGAATGGTACCCTGGCGCAGTGTCTGCGGAAGAAGAAGGAAAGACGCCGATGTTGATTGGAAACGAACCCGTCCAAACAGCGTCTGGCACTCACATGAGGGTGTAGCTGGAAGAATGAGAAGAGCTTGCATGCACTCAAAACAAGGATACTTGAGGGCGACGTCGAGTCCCGTGATTGCTTGCTCCGCATACCAATCGGTCACCTCTTGGCGTCTGGGAGAGAAGGGAAGGTTGCCCGAGCCGGCCGCACAGACGGCGTACCTGGTTGGATCCCACCGAGATAAGCACACAAAAAAGTTTGGAAGAAATCACCCTACTAACCGAAGGTAAGACGGCATCGTTTCGAACTTTAACAAATACGTCCGCTTGTGGATGACGCCCGACACCAACGTGGCGCGCTCGAAAAACTCCTCGATCAAATCCAGCTCTTCCCGCGCCGGCGCGTCCGGTCGCGGGCGGAACGGCACGTCGTACGATCTGGTGGGCGGCGGGGTCATTGCGATCGGGAGCGGGAACCGATCAAAGACGGACGGGATTCCCGATTGGACGGCAAATTGCCACGTTCTCGGGTCCAGCGGCGTCTGCGTCTGCGTCGGGCGCGGAAGCGACAGCTTTTGGGATCGCGCGCGCTTTTTTGCGTCAATGTCGGCGCGCAGGCGGGTGCCGATGTAGACGCACTCAAAGTTGCGGGTTGCGCAGTAGTAGCAAGTCGGGCGCTCGCCCTCGCATTTCAGCTTGCGGCGGCGGCAGGTTTCGCAGGACCTGTTTGGGCGCGGGGGGATTATCGTGAGGGAGGGGATGGGTGAGGTTGGGTGAAAGCTGGGATTATGGAGGCAGGGTTGGGTGCGGAGGCCTGGGGATCGAATGCAAACAGTAAACCATCTTCTTGTGAGAGCGGCGGGCCGCGTCGACGATACTGCGCCTGAGGAGGAGGAGGCGGCGGAGGATGCACGGGGTTTCGCCTTTGCACCAGCAACGACAGCGGACGACGATGATGATAATGACGATGACGAT